TATATATATATATATATATATATATATATTTATTTATTTATTTATATCTATTTATTTATTTATTTATATTTATTTATGTTTATTTATGTATATATATTTTATCTCCTCTCCTTTGTTTATAACAATTCATCCCCTCCTCGTGCTGCAGTCAATATTGCTGCAGTCAGCAGCAGCACGAGGGCTTGCTGCAGCAGCAGCAGCAGCAGCAGCAGCAGCAGCAGCAGCAGCTGTAGCAGCTGCAGTAGGCGCTCCTTAATGTCAGCTTAGATACAATGCACCTGCATGCGTGTGCATGCGTGCATGCATGCAAGGATTAATGCATGCATGCAATGCATGCATCCATGCATATTTGGGGCTGGCAGAAGTTGATGTGTCTGCTGCAGTTGTTTTTCGTGGCCAATTGCAGCGCGGGAGGAAAGGATAATTTGGCGCTTCTGCTGCTGCTGCTGCAGCAGCAGCTGTAGCAGCTGCAGCAGCAACAGCAGCAACAGCAGCAGCAGCAGCAGCAGCAATAGAGGGCGTAAAGTGTTCTCTCGTCTGTCTGTATTGTTAGGTTTGTTGTGATGCAGCAAGCAGCATGTTTGCATGCAGACTGCAGCAGCTGCTGCACAGCTGCAGCAGCTGCTGCAGCTGCAGCAGCAGCTAATTTGCTGCGGTGTATCGAGACACACCAGCGCATGCATAATAGGTAGCGATAATCTTGGGGCTTGATTAAAGGATTTATTTATTTATTCATTTATTTCTTTTTGTCTTTCTTTCTTTTTACCTCCCTTATTCTTCTTCTTAATGATTATACAGCAGCAGCAGCTGCTCTCGTAACCGTTGCTGCTGCTGCAGCAGCAACAGCAGCAGTAGCAGCAGCAGCAGCAGCTGCTGCTGCTGCCTTAGGGGTTGCTCCTATTACCGTTCCTGTTTATGTTGTCTTTTTCTTCTTTTTTCTTCTATAGAGGGTTTATTATTTATTTATTCTTTTTCTTCTTTTTTTCTTCTTTTTTTTCTTCTTCTTTTTGTCTCCTTTTTCCTTATTTATTTATAATGGTTGTCTCCCTTGCTGCTAGAGGTGCTTGGGCCTGTTCTTGTTGACAGCAGCAGCAGCAGCAGCAGCAGCAGGAGCTGCAGCAGCTGCAGCAGCAGCAGCAGCAGCAGGAGCAGGAGGAGCAGCAGCAGCATAGTAAATAAATATATATATAGTCTTATTACATGAATTAGTTGCTAGATGAGGTGCCTGTCTTGCATGCGCATGCAAGTGCATGCATGCGCATGCAGGCGCATTCATGCATGCGCATGCAAGTGTATGCATGCGCATGCAACGTGTATGTAGGCGCATGCAATATCTACATGCGCATGCAAGCGCATGCAAGTGTATGCAAGCGCATGCAAGTATATGCATGCGCATGCAAGCGCATGCAAGTGTGTGCATGTGCATGCAAGTGTGTATGCAAGCGCATGCAAGCGCATGCAAGTGTATGCATGCGCATGCAAGCGCATACGTGCGCATGCAAGTGTTTGCATGCGCATGCAAGTGCATGCACTGCTGCAGAGTAAACAAAGCCCCATGCTGCAGCAGTGTTCTTATAGCAAAGGCCGCGCGGCGTACAGCAGCAGCAGCAGCAGCAATAGCTGCAACAGCAGCAAGACAAGGAGAGCAGCAGACAGTGTATATATAGTGTCTCCTTCCTCCTCCTTGCATGCATGCATGCATGCAATAATAATAATAATAACAATATAGTAGTAAGGAGAAGGAAGAAGACTACTTGCTGCTACTACTACTACTACTACTACTACTATTGCTGCTGCTGCTGCTGCTGCTGCTGCTGCTGTAGGTGCCGCTGTATGTGGCCATAGAGAAATCCTATAGGCAAAGAAAGGCGGCCTTATGCTTATGTGTTATATATAATTAGTAGTTTATTTATTTATTTATTTATTTATTTATTTATTTATTTATTTATTTATTTATTTATTTATTTATTTATTCTTTATGTTGTGTGTTATTAAGGTGGGGTTTAATAAACCCCACCAATAAACACACCACATATTTAATTCATTGTTACTAACACTAATTATTTATTTATTTATTTATTTATTTATTTATTTTATTTATTTATTTATTCTTGTCTTTATCTTCTTCCCCTTTTATTATTAATTAAATAATAATATAATTAATAATAGTAATAGAAAGGAAGCATAGACACAGAGGGATTAATAGGTTAGGGTTTAGGGTTTAGGGTTTAGGGTTTAGGGTTTAAGGTTAGTAAATAGTTGGGATAATAATCATAAATAGTTGGGGTGTATGTATACCTCAATAAATAACTTGTGTATAAACAATAAAGAAGAAAAGAGGGAAAAAAAGGGAAAAAGGAGGAAAATAAATAACTTTTTTTTTTTTTTTTTTTTTTTTTTTTTTTTTTTA